TCTCTTTCTCGTTTCTCTTCTCTTTCTCGTTCTTCTCTTTTCTCGTTTCTCTTCTCTTTCTCTCTCTGCTTTCCTTTCTTCTAATTCTAAACGTCTCATCTCTAATTCTTTATCTTGTCTCTCTCGTTCCATTTCTAACTTCTTCCATTCAATTTCTCGATTAATTTCTAGGGCACGCATCTTGACTGTTAGGAAGCTGATATTAAGCTCGCCTGCATCACTGTCAACGTCGCTGCCCTTATCTTCCTTTTCCGTGGAAGCTATGTCTGCACTTTCCTTTGTACTAGGAGTCTCGCCTTCCTGTTTCTCTTCTGCCTTCAGGTGCCGGTGTACCTTGGACAAGATCTCCACACGGGAATCACTGGCACGGATCTTGATCTCCAGGTAGGCGCTCACTAGTACAAGCTCTGGTTTGCTCAAATATTTTAATCTGGCAAGACAATCCTCTCTGTTCAGAAAAGCCTGAACCTCGTCCAGATCATCTATGGTAGCTTTGTCTGCCATTGTCACAGATGGAACACTTAGCACTTAACACACTGCTTACACGTTAGCACTTAACACAACGAGCACTGTTCTACGCCAAGATATGCACTTTATCGCACCAAACACTGCACTTGCCAATATTGCACGTAATCACTTCGGGCACCACACTACCCAAATATTACACTGAGTCCAAGCGAACACTTCGCTCTACAATATTGCACTAAATCACTGAGCACCGCACTAGTCAATATTGCACTTAATCGCTTAATCACAGCGAGCACCGCACTGCACCATATCGCACTTAGTCACTGAGCACCGCACAGGACGTATAACGTCACAATCGTCACACGCAGGGGGAATTATTTACAGGGATTATGCCACTTCACCACCCCTGTCAAACATACTTAACAAGGGGACGGATCCCGCTGGGGATGCCAATTATGTTACGGCCCTCTCAGGACGCAACAGGGTTCTCACTCTGATGTTGTTAGAGGAAGATATATGTATCCGTTCCCAAGCCAGTAGTGGCTATCAAGGGATGAGATCCGTGACGCAAGTAACTTAAAAGGGAGTAGGGAAAGAAAGTTAAGAACTTAATATTATATAATGTCCGTCACCAATTAAATATATAAAATCAAAAAGAGCACAGGGGGAGGGTATTAACACTATACAAGGGGATTATGCACAATATAGTCTTCTGCTGAAGACGCTGGTACTATGCAGAACACATCTCCTGGCATAACCATATGCAGCTCTAGCACAAGACGATGGAGCCGTGGTGTTGGCGCCTGTGCTGGTGGTGTCCGTGGTGTTGGCGCCTGTGCTGGTGGTGTCCGTGGTGTTGGCGCCTGTGCTGGTGGTGTCCGTGGTGTTGGCGCCAAAACCAAAACAACTGGTGTATTTGTGTGGGAGGATTGTGAGAATTTTGTCCCACACAATCCAACATTTGATGATATCGATGTTGGTGTGACACCCTTATTCCCCAATACTGGTGATGATATGGCTGAAATTGTTTATTTTATGGCATATTTTGATCAGCAATTCATGGACCATTTTGTTGCAGACACAAACGGATATGCTCACGGCCTCATTGACTCTGGCATTTTACCTGCCTCTCGGTCATCACATTGGAAAGACACGACTAATGAGGAAATGTATGTGTTTTTAGCGTTGTGCATGATGATGAGGCATGCAGATAAACATGTTTTCCTGGATTATTGGAGCAAAGGGCCTTCTTCAACAGGTACATGTCATGTGATAGGTTCCTGCTGCTTCTCAGGTGCCTGCACTTTTGAGAACAATGATAATGCTTGATACCTGCTTGATGGGGTTCTGGGAGTTCTTCTACTCCCCAAGCCTGGCCCGAGGCCAGGTTTGACTTGTGAGAGTTTGGTCCACCAGGCTGTTGTTTGGAGCGGCTCGCAGGCCCACATACCCACCACAGCCCGGCTGATCCAGAACTTCTTTTAGAAAACAGTCCAGTTTTCTCTTGAAGATGTCCACGGTTGTTCCGGCAATATTTCTTATAGTCGCTGGGAGGACGTTGAACAACCGCGGACCTCTGATGTTTATACAGTGCTCTCTGATTGTACCTATGGCACCTCTGCTCTTCACTGGTTCTATTCTGCATTTTCTTCCATATCGTTCACTCCAGTATGTTGTTATTTTACTGTGTAGATTTGGGACCTGGCCCTCCAGTATTTTCCATGTGTATATTATTTGATATCTCTCTTGTCTCCTTTCTAGAGAGTACATTTGGAGAGCTTTGAGACGATCCCAATAATTTAGGTGCTTTATCGCATCTATGCGCGCCGTATATGTTCTCTGTATTACCTTTATTTCAGCAATCTCTCCTGCTCTGAAGGGGGAAGTGAGTACTAAGCAGTACTCAAGACGGAACAACACAAGTGTCATGAAGAGTACAACCATTGTGATGGGATCCCTGGATTTAAAAGTTCTCGTAATCCATCCGATCATTTTTCTGGCCGACGCAATATTTGCTTGGTTATGCTCCCTAAACGTTAGATCGTCGGACATCATTATTCCCAAATCCTTGACATGCTGTTTTTCTACTATGGGAAGATTCGATTGTGTTTTGTACCCTGTATTATGTTTCAGATCCTCATTTTTGCCGTACCTGAGTACCTGAAATTTATCACTGTTAAACATCATGTTATTTTCTGCTGCCCAATCGAAAACTTTGTTGACATCTGCTTGTAATTTTTCAATGTCTTCAGCATAGGTAATTTTCATGCTGATTTTTGTGTCATCTGCGAAGGATGACACGAAGCTGTGATGTGTATTTTTGTCTATATCTGAGATGGGAATAAGGAACAGCAGTGGTGCAAGGACTGTACCTTGAGGTACAGAGCTTTTAACTGCGCTTGGGCTCGATTTTATTTGATTGACTGTTACTCTTTGTGTTCTGTTCGACAGGAAATTGAGTATCTAGCGTCCTACTTTTCCAGTTATTCCCATTGACCTCATTTTGTGTGCTATCACCCCATGGTCACATTTGTCGAACGCCTTTGCAAAGTCTGTGTATACAACATTGCATTTTGCTCTTCTTCTAGATCTTCTGTAATTTTGTCATAGTGGTTGAGTAACTGTGACAGTTAGGATCTTCCCGCTCTAAATCCATGTTGTCCTGGATTGTGCAACTCTTTGTTTTCCATAAAACTAGAAATTTGATTCCTAATCACTCTTTCAAACACTTATTATGTGTGATGTTAGTGCAACTGGCTTAATGAAGACAGACACGACAGACTGTAGAAGATGTGGAAGGTATTTAGTGATATGAGAGGAAAATTCCGTGACTATTTTGTACCAGGACAGAATGTTGTAATTGATGAATCACTAGTCCTCTTCAAGGGACGACTGACATTTAAGCAGTACATTCCATCAAAGTGGCACAGGTTTGGACTTACGTTTTTCGTGCTATGTGACTGTGAACCTGGTATTGTCATGGGACATGATACTGTATTCAGGTACAAACATTGACATACCAGGTCAAGATCCACACTGGTTCTCAGGGAGTGTCGTGAAAACACTCATGGAACCATTGCTGAACATGGGGCACATCCTCTGCACAGGCAACTACTATACCAGCCCCTTGCTGACCAGATTCCTCCTTGACCACAACACTGATGTATGTGGCACTGGCGCTGCTTGCTCGGTGTCCGAACCCGAGGGTTTTCCCGCGGCTCCACCTGTTTCAGCAGATCGGGCCGGTACGTCACGTGGCTGGTTCGATCTTCTCCTTGAGTCTTCGCGTATGGGTTTTTTGACTCGAGTTTATCATCATCTCTATGGTAATCAGGTGGCCTCCTTGTTGGTATCCCACCTGAGGGCTTCTTCTCGGCAGCAGTATGAAGTTTCCTGGCGGTCCTTCTGTTTCTTTTTGCGTCTTCGTCGTATTAGTTCCTTGTCTGTTAGGGTGGTCTTGTCCTTTCTCTCTTGGTTGTTTCAGGACCGTCATCTTATGCCTAACACTGTCGTCTCGTATCGTGCGGCGCTGGCGGAGCCACTTCAGCTTGCCTTCGGTATCGATGATACGTCTGTGCCATTTCGCAAGCTGTCTCGTGCCTTGTTTCACGAGGCTCCCCGGCATCCCTCCCTCCCTCCGGTCAGCGTTTTTTTCGCGTTTTTAACATCCAGCCTCAAGAACTGAGGTGTGGGTAGCCGGCGTGGAGGGTCTGGGGCTCCCCCTTCCCCCTCCCGGGGAGAGGGGAAGCTGCGCAGACAGCGGCGCGGCGACGTGTGACGTCACACTAGTTTGTTTTCTGTTGGGGAGTTCTATCCACTAGTTCGGCTTTTGGTAGCAATTTTAACCAGAATAGGGGTTTGTTTTGAGGCACTTACCTTTCTGGGTGCCTGTTCCGGTCGATGGCAGACATAGAATGCTTCCAACCACACGGGGGTTTCTACAGGTCATTGCTCCCCTTGCCTCTCTGAGGGGCCCAGTTCTGGCCGTGGTCCCCGGTAGGCCTAAGACCTCCATACACATGACTGATGCCAAAGTCTGACATTAGCATATCAGCCTGGGAAAGCTCTGGGGAGCCTCCAGGACTCGCCCAGAAAATGGCTTTTCATTACATTCAACACTGGTTTTTTGGTTTTACTTTTGAATAAAGCATAGTTGGACAATTTTTTAATTTATTTAGGAGTGTGTTCCATGTACTGGGTCCTTTTATTTGCATGGAGTGTTTGTACAGATATTATATTATATTAAATATTAAAAATTTATAAAAATTTTATTACAAGTCCTTAATTTAGCTAATTACAAATTAAATATAGTAATTTTCAGGACTAGGAGTATTAAATATTATATTAAATAAGCAAGTAATTTTACTTATTTATTTTAATGATCCTGTAATGTAAAGTAGTAAGAACATTTGAATACAGGCATTTATTTGGCAGTAATTGTTCAAACCAGATATTAATCAACATTTTAGAGAGAATTGGTAAAAATTTGCCCATCATTAGACAAACTGTAATCTAATTTTTTCTCCTTTAAGGAATTACATATCTTCAAAAAGTACAAAGGGGTATACTCCAACAGCAACATTGACCTGTACAACAATTTTGTTTCATCGTATCTTATGGACTCGAGTGTCACCCTTTGGGACAGCAACATTCCTTTTTCCAAGGCCTATCATGCCAACTGTGTAAAAAGCTACAGAAAATCATTTGATATGCTTTGGGACTGTGATAATCCTCTGCACACAGGATTCGTTATGGTAGAGAAATATGCTGATATGTTTCTTAATGATATTTGCAATTCTTTTATTAACTTGGATACTACTTACTGTTAACATATGATTGGTTTAATTTCTTCATAGTAAATTTTAATGTGTTAAATAAAATATAAGACAATTTATGTTTTGTTAACCCTCTGGCTGCTCAAGTGATTTTAGCATGCTATACCCTGGTGTGCATGAAATATAACACTTCTAAACAAAAAAAAAGTCTTCTAATATTGTTAAAATAAATTCCCTGAACACATCTTCTTGAGGTTATCTTGAGATGATTTCGGGGCTTTTTAGTGTCCCCGCGGCCCGGTCCTCGACCAAGCCTCCACCCCCAGGAAGCAGCCCGTGACAGCTGACTAACACCCAGGTACCTATTTTACTGCTAGGTAACAGGGGCATAGGGTGAAAGAAACTTTGCCCATTGTTTCTCGCCGGCGCCTGGGATCGAACCCAGAACCACAGGATCACAAGTCCCGCGTGCTGTCCGCTCGGCCGACTGGCTCCCCTCCCACATGGAAAATATTACAAAAATTGTATGTGACTTACAATTCAATTACAGTACAATACAATTCACAATTCATGTGCGCTCATCGAGCGTTCACCCTGAGCTAGCCGTCAGCCAGGAGTTGATGCGAATATATTTTTTACATATTTATTTAAAAATTTCTGATTAGTTTTTCTCTGTTTGTTTTTTCAGTAAAGTTATTCAATAGTGTGTCTTCAGAAGTTTATAGAAGAAAATGAGTGGAACATCAGAATGCTCAAATATATTCATGTCACTAGGATGCATCTATATTATACAACATTCTATTTTTGGTATTATTACACTGTATACACACTAATTTTATAACTATGCATATTTACTTGCATTGTAAAAGAGAGACCCTTGTGAAGTGTATAACCCAGGAGACATAGAAACAGCAGTATTAAATGTTGAAAAACTGTCTGGAAACTCTTGCATTTGGAATCCCTGCCAGTACAATAGTCAGTTCTGCACATGCGCAGAGCATTGTCATAGCAAGAAAGTGTCATCCCCAGAACAGTATAAACAGCAAAGAAAATACAGTGGAACCTCGAGTGACGAGCGCCTTCATCTACAAGCGTTTCAAATAACAAGCGAGAAGCTCACCGAAAATTTGTCTCGATTGACACGCTTCTGCTCTGTTAATGAGAAAACCACGTGGTGCTTCCTAGCGTTCCCACTGGTTCTCGCAAATTCTCAAACACCTCCGACGATGCAAATGAATTATTTTTTTTATAACCCTTGTATGGCGCCAGGCTATTTTGTATTTGTCACCCTCAGGCACAGACCAAAAAAAAAAAAAAAAAAATTTTCTTCTAAACCTGTTAATTTGTGTTCACTGATCATGGGAAAAATAATAAAAAAAATCATAAGTGGCATATATTGCCCGCTATAGGGTGGGGATGTCTGGCAAAAAACAGGCGCTGACTCAGCGTGTGTCCCAGATGGTCTGTTGCTTGCCAGCTGTCAGGCAGGTGTGGCCACAAAGAGATAATTACCTAATTATTTCAATGTCTCTGATTAATTTTTCATAGTTTTTTTTACTGTAATATTATTCAATAGTGTGTAGTGTGATATATTTATATAATAAAATGAGTGAATCATCGCTGTACTCAAAAATATGGTGTGCATATTGTTGATTCAATTATTATGTTCATCAAACAGTGAACAAATACTTTGTCGGTTATTACACTATATACACAGGTTATATATAAGTATCTGCATGTTTTGTTCACCATAACGAACCACTAAGTTGCTCTTATGAGTCAAAAAGTAGCGAGGAGTGACCGCCACACACCAGCCAGCCACTCGCTGCCACTCACTCCCTCAACACCTCATTCGCCCACATTCTCCTCCCACAATACTGTTTTTGTTTTTATTCACTATATACAGACGTTATATATAAGTATCTACATTCGTGTTCACCATAACGAACCACTAAGTTGGTATGCTGAGTGGCAGTGGCAGTACCAGCCCGCCACTGGCTGCCACTCCCTCCCTCCCTCACCTCACCTGACTTGCCACCATTCTCCTCCCACCATACTGTTTTTGCTTTTATATACAGACATTATATATAAGTATTTACATGTTTTGTTCACCATAACTATACATCTAACCTTGTATGGTGAGTAACGGCACAAAGACGTAGCTACTCACACAGTCAGCTGGTGGTGGCCGCCCTCAAGGCCAGACGCACTACTATTTCTCCTCCAACAATACTGTTTGTGGTGTTATTACGCTATACACACACATTATATATAAGTATCTACCTGTTTTATTCACCATACTTATATATACAAGTAAGCTGGTATGGTGCCCAAAGACCATAGTGGTCACCAGTAAACAACATGATTAGTCATGCAGACGACGCACCTCCCTCACCAAAATGGCGGCTCCCAACCTACTCCTATTGCTGTTATTACAATATATACACACGTTATATATATGTATCTACATTTGTGTTCACCATAGCGAACCACTAAGCTGGTATGGTGAGTGCAGTCAATAAAAGGTGGCCCCCACACACAGTCAGAAGACAACGCCACCACCCTCCCTCCCACAGCATTACTCCTCCCTCCATGGAGCACAGCGCTAAATATCACCACAATCCTGCTATTATCAGAACCCTGGTCAGTTTTACCACAGTCAGGGGTCTTCTGTAATAATATCATCACTAAATAATAGCAAGAACATGTATATTATGGCATTTTTAGACGATGCTGTGGTCACAAGCTGAACAGCAGTGCTGTGAGCTCATGCTGCGTGCGTCAGGCTTTTTAGCTCACTCAATACTGAGGCCCCTCACACCGGGGAATTTGGCCCACGATTTAAAAAAAAAATTGAGTCTATTTACAAAAGCCCTGATGAAGATTTGGTGAACCCCGTGTATCCGCGGGCCATTTAAATCTTGCGCGGTACTCCAAAACATCATATGATGCGGAGTGCAAGTTACTACAAGTCACTCAACGCATCATATGATGTCTTGCGCAACTAAAGGGTTAAGATGCTAATGATGCTGGGATGTAAAAGGGTGACTGCTGCGATGTTGCAAAGCATTGAATATTTTTTTAAACAAAAAATGAAAAAATTTGAAAAAAAGAACAAATGTCAAATAAGGTTCATTCACTGTATGTCAGGTAGGCTGTTCCATTTTGTATACAAAAAAAGTTAAAACTAAAAAAATTGAACAAATTTGAAAAAAAGGAAAAATGTCATAAAGGTTCGTTCAGTGTAAATTATAATGATTTAGGAGATAAAGATGTATACTATATATAAGTGATAAAGCCCAAATCTGGTCCCTAATCATCAAAACAACCTATAGAGACAAAGAAAATAGAGTTTGAAATCTGTGAAAAATCTGAAAAAAAAAATAAAAGTTCCAAATTCTGCCAGTTGTGACTGATTTATTTGCTGACCAATTTCATTCTATCTTCACATAGTTAGGGACAGGTATACACTCTCCAGGATGTAGAAGTTACAACAAACTCAGATAATAAATAAAGGAGACAAAAGAAAAATGCTTTGGACATTGATGAAAGTAACATATTAACATTGGGCAATGTATGTTAATGATATATAACAAAATAAAGCATTATTACATACTTACTCATTATTATTTTTGTTATTATGTATTACTCAGCAATGCTATAAAGGTACCAGCTGCATATCCACTTTGTGGACACTTTACTACTATTCGTCTTCTTTGTGCATTGGACATGTGCATGTATTTCTTTATTACTGCACTATCCCTCAGTTCCAGCTAATAGAAGCTGTTCTCCTTATCAACAAAACGTTCTTCCTTTTTAACCCTTCCACTGCTCAGGGGTCCTGAGGACATTTACACCCCTGTGCGCAAGAAAAAAAAAATTCAATTTTTTTTTTCGTCTTCTAAACATGTTAATTTGTGTCCCCTGAGCACGGGAAAAATAAAAAAAAATCGTAGGTGACATATTTTGGGCGCAATTGACCGAGGCAGTCTGGCAAAAAGTGGGCATTGACAGAGCGGTCGTCAGAGCCGGTCAGCGTCACCCGCGCTGACAGATGGGAGTTGCCACAAAGATATCACTTAATTATTTCTATGTCTCTGATTGATTTTTTCTTAGTTTTTTGCAGTAATATTATTCAATAGTGTGTATTGTAATATATTTATATAATAAAATTGGTGAATAATCGCTATACTCAAAAGTGTGGTGTGCATATTAGTGATTCAATTATTATGTTTATAAAACAATAAACAAATAGTTTTGCTGCTATTACACTCTATACACAGGTTATATATTGTGACGGTGTTCCCCCCTTATATTTCTCCCACGCCTGCAGTAAGAGTCATGTCCACTTTACCCAAGCGTTCTCTACGTCGCAGGCATCAATTTGATATATGTGGGAGAGTGGAGTGTTCTCGGAGAGCCGAGAAATTTGTGAAACAATAATATTTTGGCCTGTGGTTTAGGCCCTTTAGGAAGCCAAGATGGCGCTGGCTCTCCTGTTTCCCCGCCAAAACGGTGTGACGTCAGTGACACCGGATTGGTCACCGACAGCAATGTGGCACCGGGAGCCAATGAAAACCTCCCGTGGCAAAAGTGACGTCACGAAGGAAGGGGGTCCGGGCAGCGCGCCGCGTTGGCGCCATCAGTCAGACACGACACGTCAAGGAGGTTGGACGTGCGACGATTGGTCCTGTCAGTTTGACAGTTGTTTCCCGCTCCCGTGGATTTTACGCGTCACCTGAAGTCTGCCAGTACTCTGTGAGGTCTTCCTTAGTTCATGTGTTGAACCAGAGAGGGAATCGACGGTTATTGAGCAACAAGTGCTCCAGGACAGGTACTGTGCAAGAAGAAGTGAAGTCTGTGCAGTGACGTAGGCGACGTCTGAGGCAGTTCACCCATTCGTGACGGCGTAGTGGCTGACCAGAGCCACTGGGTAGCAGAGGAAGAAGAGGACTAGTTGGGAATCCGGACGACTGCAGCCGAGAAGTAGGCGGGCAGCCGTAGCTGGGAGAAGTCGACGGCCAGGAGACCGACTCCAACCCTACAAGAAGTCG